GAAGATGAAGAGGAGATGCAGCAGGACGAGGCTGGAGAAGGAAGAACCACAAAGTAAAAGCAGGTAAACTCTCCCTGCATCACCAAGATGATGGTGGGGACAGTGAAGCCTCCATGAAAGTGTCCTGATGGTTCACTCTGCAGGTTTACGATCCACAGCCTGATTCCTCTGATGTCAGTAACATTTCTCAGTCAATGCTCTTTAGTGTGATGGAGATTTCACATCTGTATTTTGAAATGCAGCAGCCGGTGACAGTAATGTTTCACCTGCCAGCAGGTCAGCTGGATCCTGTGAAAAAGAAAGCAGCCAATGAGAGAGGTTTGACTTTCTGCTGAAAACGTGCTGATGAGACGACGGGCAGGTTGCTCTGGTTCCTGTGTAAAGCTGGGACAGCATCAGCAACAGAGGAAAAACATAACCAAGTGCATTCAGTTTGAATATGGAAGAAAATGCAGTTTTCTAATAATGTGAATGGTAAATGGCCTGTATTTGTATAGCACCTTACTATGGACCCCAAAGTGCTTTACACTGCATCCAGTCATCCACCCATCCACACACATCCACACACACATCCACACACTGGTGATGAAGCTACGCTGTAGCCACAGCTGGCCTGGGGCGCACTGACAGAGCACTAATCTAAATCAAAAACAGGAATCTATCAAACGCATTTGATTTATTATCAAACCATTGATCAGTACTTCTTGACACATGTTGTAGGAACCGGGGTCTAAATGGTGGTTTGGCTCTGAGACCAAGAGTTTAAATAAACAGGTGTTAAAGTTGCTGTGTTTCCTGATGCGTCTGTGAAGCTGTGTTGTTAACTGAAGCTGCTGCAGTCTGGTTCTTATATGACGCTGAGCTTTTGTACAACATTCACAGCCATTCATTCACTTTTTGTTTACCTGTCTAACATCCACACTCTGCATCAGAGAGCAGCTCGGGTATCCTGCTCAGGGATATTTGGCGTGCAGACTGGAGCAGCAGGATTGAACCACCAACCTTCCTATGAGTAGACCCACTCCGGGTTAACACAGCTGTGACTACCTGGCCACAGGTAATCACAGACTGCCATGAAACCAATAGAAACCAACAGAAGTCACTAACAGCCCGCCGTCCACGAAGGCGTGGTTCATGTGTCTGATTCATATTTATGGCCTGCAGCAACTTCCTGTCAGGAAACAGACGAGTGCTGAAACACCGACTCTGGCAGCGCTGTTAGTTCGCTTTGAGGTGTAAGCCCGGCCGTCTCTGTGAGGCTGGGCGGACTTGAATGTAATTTAAAGAAACAGAACGTGTGTGTTGTTTAGTTAGAGGGGAGTAAATGTGTGTCTGGCTCATAAACTGAGCAGAGGTGTGAACTTTGAGCTCCCCACGCTGAGGTCTGTCACCTGCTGCTGTGTGACGGAGGACAGCGATGACGGAGCACCTTCTGAAAGTTCTCATTGTTGGTGACGGAAACGTCGGCAAGTCTTCCTTTGTTCATCGCTACGTCAGCGGACAGTTCAACAAGACCTACAAGATGACGGTGGGAGGTAGGGCTGCTTTACTTATTGAGTCTGAGATACTGGCAGGGTCTGCGCGGTGTGTTCGGTGCCCTTTGCATGGTCATCAGGAAACTTCAGAAGTCATGTTAGAATGAGCAGGCACTGACCTGAAACTGGTTTATATATCGTAGAGGAGCAGACTGATGTTCATGTAAGATCTGAAGACAGGTGGAATATAAAAGTGGATCCACCACTTTGGTCCATCAGACTGCTGCACAGCTTTGGTCTCATGTTACAGATCTTATATTTATCTGTCCCACCACGACTGTCTCGTTCCCTTCACCTCCTCCTGAATTAGAAACGTTTCAGAGAAGTCGTGTTAGTCAAGGAAATGTGCTGACTGTGGGAGTCTTCAGCAGCTCTGCTTAATGCTTCAAATCGTTCCTCGAGGGACCTTATATTTATATTATATATATTTATATTTATTATACACACAAAGTGGGTTTTTAATTCATTTCAACTTATATATGTCTCCCAAACTGGAAGCTGGTTCCACAGAAGAGGGGCCTGAAAACTGAAGGCTCTGCCTCCCATTCTACTTTTAAATACTCTAGGAACAACAAGTAGGCCTGCAGAGCGAGAGCGAAGTGCTCTAATAGGGTGATATGGTACTACAAGGTCATTAAGATAAGATCCTGATTATTTAAGACCTTGTATGTGATTTAACAGGAAGCCACAACAGGAGAAATCTGCTCTCCGTGTTGAAGGAGCTCTGTAACTTTAGCACCACCGTCAGGTCAAAATGTATTTTTCATCTCAGGACCTCGTTTTTAACTTTATGATCTAAAACTTTGTTTCTTACAAAAATAGCTGGAGTTGATTTTCAGTCTTTGTCCTTTGGTTTGCTTTGACTGGCGACTTCAGTCCGCCGGTCTCTACAGCTACATTTGAACCCATCGCATCACCAGAGCGCTCCTCCTTTTAAACCAAAGCTCCAGGAAGTAACGAGGTCCACAGTCTCTCTGCACGAGTTGAATCAAATAAAGAGGAGATCACCGATGATGTCACAGCCTTCAATCTGTTTGTACGATTAGAAACTGTGGGTTAGTCACCTGATTCAGGCCCCAGGTGTACAAAATACTGAAGGAATAATTACAGGATGTAATTTTTGTTTATTTAAATATTTATACGTAACTGGAAGCAGCTGAGAATGAGTGCAGGTTCAGCTGGACGACACCAGCTCTCACTTCTTTGCGCTTAATGAATAATTTCACAGAGGTTTCACTTCAGAAGAAGCAAAGTGAAACTTTGGGGGATTTCGAGCTTCCTGTGTAGATGTGCCTTCAGTGTGTTTCATTTCTCTCTTGCTGCGTCTCTAACAGACTGTTTCCTTCTGCAGTGGATTTCTCCGTTAAGCTGCTGCACTGGTCGGATAAAGAGAAAGTCCGACTGCAACTCTGGGACATCGCAGGTACAAAGAAAGTTTGGCTTCAGCTTTTTTAGCCTCAGTGGGTCAGCTGACGGTAGCTGAGACTGGTTAAATGAAGTAAAACAAACACTCGACTTGAGAAAAAGATTAAACCAGCAGACATGACACGGTGTGCAGGTAGAACAACAGTTTGAAGTTTGAGTCAGTGTGGTCTCCAAGCTGCTGCAGGCTTTGGTGCACCGGTTTAGAAACTGCTTTGTCTTCCTGACATAAAGTGTTTGAACTGAACATCTTCAACCTTTAACAACAATAAACTCAAACAAATCATGAAACAAAAAAACCAATCTGAACATTTTCAGACTGGAAGTAAACTGAAAGCAATTAAAAATAGTTCAAAATAAAATAAAAATTCAGAATATCTAACGCCTCTGCATTATTGACTGAGTCATGGATGCACTGGTGACACACTGACCGTTGCCTTTCTCTTCAGGCCAAGAGCGTTTCATATCCATGACCAGGATCTACTATAAAGGGGCGCTGGGCTGTGTGGTGATGTTTGATGTCACCAGTTCCTCCAGTTTCTCCAGCTGTCGCCACTGGAAAGAGGACCTGGACAATAAGGCCATGCTGCCCAACGGACACTCCATCCCCTGCATCCTGGTTGCTAACAAGGTGATTGAGTGCATCCAGCTAATGAAGGATCCACCAGGAAGCTTTGAGGTTCAGGCTAAAGAGCACAGCTGCTAACGGGCAGTGAGTCACTCTGAACTCTTTCTGCTTCGGTGTGTTTGCAGTGCGACCTCGCTCACAGGGCTGTCTCTGCAGACACCATCGACAGGTTCAGCAAAGCCCACGGCTTCATTACATGGATGGAGACTTCAGTCAAAGACAACAAGAACGTTGGAGAAGCCATGAGGTAGGAAGAGAGCGTCAGAGGCAGAGTTTAGGAGTTTAGAGTTAAACCTGGACCAATCCAGTAGAAACATCTCAGTTTTGTGTTATGTGCAGTTTTATTCAGTAAAATGTAACATGCAAGAAGGAAATTAGCTTATGTTAGCACCTGCTGAAGCTGGAATCAACCTGAAGAGTCAGGCTACGTTCACTCTGCAGGTCTTAATGCTCAACTCAGATTTTTTGATCAAATCCGATTTTTTTGTCTGCTCGTTCACACTACAAATAAAATGCGACAGCAAACGCGCTCTAGTGTGAACGCTCAAAGCGGCACATGCGCAAAAGAAGACGTCACACACAACGCGCTCTGTTTAGACCCAGAGCAACAGTATTGTTTGACTGATGGTCTTAATATAAAGACTTCAGACTTTACGTTTCCCAATTTTTGCTTTAAGTTATTTTGTTATTTACATAATAATGTAAATAACCTAATAATGATCCTTATTGCTGTTTTAGAGGAGCGCTGCTTCAAAGGATAGTTGCAGATTTCTGTCAGAATCTGCAGATTATACAGAACAAATAAAATGTTCACGTTTCTCCAACGTTGTCTTCCCAACAGTTTCACTGGATGGACAGGAAGCGTTCGCCATGTCTTCTCCGGCGCTGATAGTTGGCGTCTGTCTTGTGTCAGTGACGTAAAAGACGGATTTAATGCGACATGACCATCAAACAGCAGCTTTCTGAAGCACCAGATATGTATCAGATTCAGGACCACATATGAAAGTGACCCAGATCGGATTTGAAGATATCGGATTTGTGCCGTTCACACTGTCACACCATGATGGGATAGATGGTCGCAGAGGGTCAAAAAATTGGATTTGATGCGCTTTCGCCTGCAGTGTGAACGTAGCCTAAGTCTGTAGCTCCTCCTCCTCAATAACACCTGTGGGGGAGGGGGCGTTTCTATAACTCACCAGTTTGTATTATTAGGGGCGTGGCCTCTTTCACTGACAGGTGCGTGGGGACACAGCCAGCTGTAACTGCTAGCTGTGTGCTAGCTTTGAAATAGCTAACAGCTTCATATTTGCTTCCCTGGTTTAAATGGAACGACGGCTTTATCTTTAAAAACGATGCTCTGAATGTTGGAGGGACATCCTGCAACAGCATCATTGAAATTACTGAAGCTCAGAGCGAGCAGCTCAAAGAGTTTCTGACCAGGTCATCGTCTCGCAGGTTTTGTTGTTTTGGCTGGAAACAGCTGAGATGTTTCTGAACATTATCGAGGCATCCGAGCCGTCTTTCCTTTGACACAAAGATCTAAGATCTGAAGCAAGAGAGAAAAAGAGTATTAAACAGGAAAACACGTCATTAAAGCTGTGAAATCTGTGGCGTTTCAGGATGCTGGTGCAGGAGATTCTGTCGGTTCAGTCCACCATGGACCAGATTCACCGACCTGAAGTCCGAGTTTATCCTGACCCGGACTCAGAGTCCAGCAGAAGCTCAGGAGGAGAACGAGGCTGCTGCTGAAACCACAGCAGGAAGTACTCTTCATGTGCACGTGAAGCGTAGGACTGTGAGCTGTTAGCAACTCAAAGTGACGTTTGTCTCGGAGCTGATTCTGGCTCGCCCACCTTTAATAGTTTCATTTTGAGCTAAAGGTGTAAATTAAGTTCAAATAAAGATGCGGGCCTCGCCTACAGCGAGGAGCAACACTAAGGACAAACACAGGTGTATGTTTCACTGGTGCGATCAGAAACAGGTGAGACACGTTAAAGGTGACGTGACGCCGAGTGGGGAGCACAGGAGAGGTGCTGGAGACGATGGTGAACAGGAAAAGCTTTTCAAACACAAAGCACGTGACCTTAGCGTGTTTAGCGGTTTGTACGCTGCACCCGATGAGAACAAACCAGCAGAAACACAGTCGAGGCTTCTTCACCTACATCCGAGGTGCCCGGAGAAGGAAACTGAGAGACTGAAGCTCCACAAACACTCACTCACATTCATATTAAACAAAACACCTTCATCAATTAACTTCATGCATTTCAGCTCGTCAGTCCTGATCCACATGAGTTTGAGAGTCCTGGGTGGGACCCGAACCGGACCTTTGACTAAAGCTCTGGAGAGTAACAGAAGTCGAAGAAAAGAAGTGAAATGATTGGTTCTGACATACTGACTAATGAACGACACACACCTCCAACCTCCAACAGAGCACACGAGCCAACAAAAGAAAAGGTTCAAACATTTTAAACTGAAAAGGTTAAATTCGTGTTTGGGAGTCAGCAGGTGTTCCCGCCAGGTAAGCAATGCGAAGGCTGAACACGGAAAGGTGGCGTTCAGCGTGGGCGTGGGGACCAGAAGGAGCACGCAGTGTATCGTGAGAGAACGAGATGCAGAGCGTGCTCGCTGCAGCCGTCATCATCTCCCAACACGCTGAGTCGTCCCGACACATGGCGTCCCCGTGCTGGCGGCGAGGCGTGTGTGAGTGGGTGCTGCACAGCATCAGTGGGACGTGCACGTGGGTGCACATGTGGAGCGTCTGTGACGGGAGCTCCGACCTGCGGCGAGAAATTCTGCTTTGAATTTTTACACTTTTACTCTTGCTGACAGTTTTTAGCTTCTTTTATTTTCTCAGGTTGTCTCCTTGTTTCACTTCCTGTTTTACTCTGGCAGTTACCTTCCCTCTGCGCTTCAGTTACTTCCTGCCTTTGTCTGTTTCCCTCCTCCTGTGTTTGCACCTCCACATGTTTCCCTCCTGTTCCTCAGTGCCTCAGGTTGATTCCTTTCTGTGGGTTTCCAGGACAACCAGCACGCTTTTATTTCCTTTGGCCTGACCTGATGTCATCTGCATTTGTATCCAGTTGTAGCACAGAAACATTTTTCAAAAAAGGCCTTCGGACTGTTTTTCTAGATCTGATTAATAAACATGCTAAAAAGTCAAATACCACCTGATTACCCGACGAAGTAAAGATAATCAGGCTTATCCTCCCAGCGTGTCATTGGTTTCAGTGAGAGAAACCTGAGAGCAGGTTCATAAAATGGTCATATTAAGCTTAAAAATTTACTTTAATCCTCCAAACATTTGCAGTGAGTAATATCAGAAAACCACGTGATCAATAAACCACCTTCAGCTTCAAAGAGACGCTCACCACCTCACGCTGTTTTAGTCCATCTGAATTTATGCATAAATTTCCCCGATGAACGTTGATAACATCTGAATTCATGCAGGTTAAAGTATTTCAACTTTAAGCTACTTTAAACATGTCCTTCTTGCTGCCCTCATGAACCCATCAGGACGACCTAACTGACTGAAGTGTTGAAACATGGTTGGACCCGTCATGCATCTTTTACATGCAGAAAACAGAAATCCTGGTAGCTTCTATAACTTCCAGCTGTGGGACTAATGCAGGCTAAAGGCTGTCTCCTCTTATCACACTGGCTGCGTGGGCTTTCACGTCAGGCGTGAGGACGTCATAGCAGTGAGAAAACCATTTAATTAGAGTCAGAATCTTTGAGATGGTTTAATTCTGTCGAAGTATAAAGTTTTTCTCCTGTCTGTGGGTTCAGCTGAAGAGTCCAATGATCTGCTCCTTTTCCAGTGTGCTTTTCCTCGATTAAAAGAAAAAGTTGGATCGACTGGTTTTCCATTACAATCTGGTACTACCTAACGTGTGTGGCTGTTGTCATGGCAACACGTCTGGCATGTGCGATACAACAAAGGTGGACATCAAGGTGACGATAAACCTGCTGCTCGGTCGTTTTTAGCTCCTAAATCTGAACAGCAGTGGAACCACAGCTATTAGCATCCTGCAGCTTTAAGATTATTGTTCAGACCCAGAAGATTCATTTATGTTTACACAGTCTATGGTTTACTTCCTGTTTTATTTTGAAGGTTTGTTGCTCGTGTGGTTTCCTTCCCTCGTCTTCCTCCTGCTCTTATTAGCGTGTGATTATTATCCTTCCTTCTGATCTTCTCCGTTAGCTCACTGTTCCACCCTCTCTGCGGTCCTCTTTCTAAAAATAATCAAACTGCTGCAGCTTTGGTTTGTCGTGACGGTCTGCAGTCAGTGAGAGGTTTCTGTAACTGACTAAACACACTTTAAATGTTTCCCCGTCACTGGAGGCGTTAATACTCACCAGTGAGCTGGCCAGAGCTCTGAGCTCAGAGCTGGAAACCCTCAGAGAGGAGGGTTGGACAGATGGAGCTCCTGTCTGTGTGTCAGCCTGTCATGGCCCCCCCACAGCTCACAGCAGGGGGGGGGGGACAGTACCAGGCTCCTCAGAGGGGCTCTTTAGCCGTTAATGGCACAGTGTTGAGAGCGCTTTTCTCCTCCTCTCACTGTGGGGCCCTGTTAAAGATGCTTTCGCCCATTTTGCATGGTCACAGAGGATTCATCATGGCTTCATGCACAGGTCGCCTCGCCCCACATATTCAGGTCGCTGAGCTGCAGGAGGCAGCCAGCTTTGTTAGGAAGGAACTAGATGGTAGTTTCGTAGATCTAGTATCAAGGAAATGTTCCAAGGTCTCCAGGCCTTGTGTCTGGATAATATTGGTATACAGGGATTCAATATCTAAAGTACATAGTATTGTGGGAGCTATCCTTTATGTGAGACTTTAATGACAGTACAAAGTTCTTCATGTGGAAGTCTACAAAGCTTGATATTCGTTCAGTTAGAATGGCAGAAACAATCGTCTGCCAGGTGGTTCTTCTAGGCTCTTATGAATTTGCCCGGTATGCCCGATGGCCAGTCCAGCTGTGGTCGTGCCATCAGTTAACCCTTCCAGGCCCAGGGTTGCCGACCCCTGATCTATTCTTATTTAATTCACTTAATGTACAGAATTCACCTGCTTGCTGCAAACATGCTACTACTGCACATTCACCTAATGTATATAATAGATAATGTTCTTCCCCCCTTTTGCACAAGTCGAGGAGCGTGTCAGGCTACACTTCACTGTGTGTTGTATGACTATGCATGTGACGAATAAAGAACCTTGTTGTTCACTTTCACTCACAGTTTAGGTTTAGAGAACAAATATGACCTGGTGAGAGTCGGGCAGAGAGCTGCTGTGTGTGGTGGCGGTTTGTCAGCAGTGGCCTGAACACACGGTTAGGTTTAGGGTGAGACGGCCAAAATGATGCTTACCGGTGCGTTTACACGGGACACTATGGTTGTGCTCTACATGCATCCATGTGTGTGTCGTTAATGCCATAAATCCGGAGCATGCGACACGGATGCCACAGGGAAACTTTGAGTGCTTCTGAGAGACGAGGACATGGAAAGTCTCAGTCAGTTAATAGATGCTGATTTTGCTTTCATCCTGCGTTTATCAAAGATGGCGAGCACTCGCTGATTTCCACCTCTATTTGGAGCTTTGTTTCCCCCCCAACAGATCAGACGATGATGTGCGGCCTGGCTCGCTGTGATGCTCAGCAGCAGTGTGGGAGGTTCACACGGGCCCGTGTGGGCGGGCTCGCTGAGCCCCCTCGCTCTTGTCATAGTTACATCCCAGAGAGGGAGGGATGGCGAGCCTGCGTCACGATCAAGCCTGGCTTCAGGCCACAGGAACTCCCAGAGCAGCGTCTGTTCCTCGTCCTGTTTTCAGCACGCTTTTCTTCCGGCCTGCCGTCCTGATCGGTATTCACGACTGTCACGACTCATAGCCGGTCAGGACCTGGCCTCAGATCTGAACGTACTGGACTCCCCGCTGTGCTGCTTCTCAGTGAGTGAGACTTTGGCCCAGTTTTATTTATACAGCACCAGGACACTGGAGGTCTTCTCAGGAAGCTTTGCATTTTAAGGTAAAGATGCTGAAATATCAGACGATCCCCTACACGCAGCACAGGAAACAGCAGGAAGGAAGAAGTCCTGACCGGCCCGGTGAGGTTGGTTTTCCAGTTCGTACGAAGCTCTGCGAGTGACGAGGGTCCCTGCAGGTTACAAAGTGCTGGCTTCAGTTCTTCAGGCTCTGAGAGGACTGAGAAGACACAAGACTGAAAACTCTCTCTGCTGTCGAGCTTTCAGAAACTTCACCTTGCTTTTATTCTGAACATCTGGATCCTGCTGTGCTCTCGCGTTAGCCTTACCTGCAAACAGGTGTTCAAATTATACAACTATATCAACTCATTTGGCTCAAAACATGCCAGTTAACCTGACCAGCGGCTTATTCCTGTGAAGGGCTGCCCACCTGTCCAGGTTGAAGGAGGTGGAGTTATCACTATCAAACATGTACGTAGCTTCTGCATCTGAAAAGTGTGGAGTTGGATGTTCTTCTTAAAGGCCAGCAGGGGGCGATGGAGAGCGTCTCTCTGCCCTGACCGCTGAATACTGAATAAAACATCAGCTGCTTTTAGGAAGTGATGGTCAGAGTCAGGAGGGGGGGTTATCCTGGGCGACAGTGAAAGCACTCAGCTCGGGGCTTCAGGGTGTTGTTGTGGGCGTGGTCAGTGTGCTGGAGGTTCATTTCCTTTTGCAGGTAATTATATGCTGACCCATCAGCACTTTTAACTACCACAGACACACACTGAAAAAAGTCTAACATGCAGTCATTCATTCAATCTAATAAGTGCCATTCAAAACAGAATAAAATCATTGAT